ATTGAAGCTTGATAGTTGCGCTCCATTCTTTCTCATCATTGTCGGATTTTATAGCTTCAATATTTATTTGTCTCTTTTGTATTCTTATCTTTGTTTGTAGTCTTATCTTTGAGAGTCTTGGGCTCTTCAAAAATTAATACACTTATCCCTTTTCTTGAACGAAGATCATGATCATCTGTTGAATTTGAAAAATACGATATTTGTTCCAATTCAGTTATTAATTTGTATGACCATTGGGGGACTTTTTTATTGATCTCTTCTTTACCTATTTTTTCTATTGCTGAAGATTTTTTATTGTCTGTCTCAATTGCATTTACTAAAAATTTTGTTAGTTGTTTTGAATCTGTTAAATTAAAACTCGATGATAAAGTTGAGAACTCACCAACTTGTAAAGGTTTTTTTTTCCTTTTTTTTTGTGAAAGATTACAAAAAATACCTTTGTCTTTGAAGTTCAGGATATGAATGGTAAAACCACTTAAGATTGTGATATTATCAATTATTTCTTATTTTAGACAATGAGAGGCTATGTATACTCACACGGATGAAGACAAGTAAAAAGAGTATGTTAATGTTCTTTAAAGTGAAATATAGTTTAAGTTAAATCACTTCTTAAGGAAGTGATAAGAAAACTTGATCTTTCAAATTAAATTTGTCTACTTTATTCTGATCCTAATAGTTTAACATACATATAATTTTTTTGTAATCTTTTTAATGCTTCTCAAGTGTTTTTGAACTTTGCTCAGAGTGAAAACCTACGTCAACACACTTTCCCTTCATCTTCTTCGTGTGGCATGTAAGACGGTGCAGGTAATATTAAGACTCTTCCAGGGTATAAATAGGACCAATTAAGGCTAAGAACTTAGTTGATTCCTTATGTGTGTGTGTGTGAGTGATATTTTAATACTTGTTTCTATTCCTTTTTATTGATTGTCAATGTGCAATGTCTTGATAGATAATATTTCCATTTATAATTTCTTTTCACCTTTTAGTGTAACTTAAGAGAAACAAGTCTATATTTAAGAAATTGAAATCGAAAAAATAGGAGACCTCGATATGACACTACAGACGACTATGCTGATAGGGATAGAGGACATTCAATTTTCCAAGGGGGTTGGTAACTAGCTGGGTGTGGGGGTGGAGCCACTGTGGAGGCTAGGAATTATCCACTATCTCTTAATCGAAACCCCTGCCCAGGAACTTCCCTTCCTCGCTTTCTTATTAAAAGGTTTAATGTTGGATTTTCCATGTTGGGTTAGTGTGTTTAAAGGTAGAAGTGTATTTTGTTGAGGATCGATTCGTCTTCCGGCTCAGGTCTCCAACCCTTTTGCTATACTCACACACACCACTCTAGGCTAGACCATAACACCTCACCAAACTTCTTCTCTACCACTAAGGTATTCTCTCTTACACTCTCACACAAAGGAAAGGAAGAAGGGCACTCTCAAGAAAGAAGAGATCTACATAAATAATAGGCTGACCAACAATAATACACTCACGGGTGACTAAAACAAAAGAGTACAAGGAGGGGTGCAACGGACAGCAAAGAGGGGGGCACACTCTAGGGAAGTCAACAACCATATTATTGGTTAGGAAAGATTCAAACAAGGGTATCGAAGTGGGAGTAAACATGGGGTGCAAGTCAATAATAAAGTGGAAGGGAGGCCTTGGTAGGACCAATACCTCCAACATATTTCTTAAAAGTTTAATATAAGACATTGTTTTAAATAAAGATCAATTATTTTTGCTCAGAGTAGTCATCCTTTGTTGTTTTAAAATCTCTCGGAGAGTGTTGTTCAATGAAAGCAACGTTATGATTGAAATCATCAGGAAGTCGAGTATTCGAGTAAAGTGAGGTTATACTTGTACTAATAATTTTTCCAATTTACCTGTGTTCTTGGATAGCACCATCTACTTTATACCGATTTACCAATTTACTTTAAATGGTATATTCCGCACCTCCGCCCATGGCTATAAACTCTCAATGATTAGTATGCTATTAGTTTTGAAGTTATATGCGCGTTGCATTACGATGTTCCACTGTTCTGAAAATTTCCCAAAAAAAAAGGAGGCGGACGTTGTTGTGGACCTACGGTGATTTATTCCTCTAAGACACAAAAAAGAATTGCATAGAGTTAATAATGCATCCATTTATTTGCAGACTTGGAGTTGTGTTGCAAAAACATTGACTCTGCATAAATCAGTTCAACTTTAAAAAAAAATTGAGGCAGTAGTTTACTCAGGCATGCACAAGGCAGTGCTTCAGGTTAGCTATATGCTCCTGCTTCCTATAATGTTTTCTTCTTTTTGTGGTTGTTTCCAAAATTTTCATTTTCTTTCCTAATCCATTCAAAGAAAGTATTGTGTGTTTTTATATAAATATACATATGTGTGTGTGTCGATTTCTTGGTGTTAAATGTGCAGCAATACTTCTTTAGGATATCATGGAAAATGGGTATAAATTTTAATTCATATGAATACATTCAATTGGATACTACATTGTCATCTTTCTGGACACTTGAACCTTTTTCTTAACTCATTCTCAACTCTGCAAAAAACAATGTGCATATAATAAAATGTGATAAACATTGACAGATAAATGAATATTAGATAGTGCTTTGTCCCTTGAAATTAGAATATTATACATAAGCTCAAAATCCATTTTTTCACTCAAGCTGGAGATAAATGTTTTGGATCATTACCTTACAGTCTCTATACTATATATACTTTCTAAAAGGTTTTGGAAAATAAAGAAAATAATTGGTACGTCACCTAAGTTGGTACTCTAATGGTCATTTGATAAAATTTGAGGCAGGTAATATGGTATTCACTTTGCATTAGAATCTTCTCTAATAACTTTGGGTGCGGGTGGAAAACTGTAATTGGAATTGAATATGGTGAAGATAAACAACGTATTATTGTAGATAATTTGGAGTAATAAACATAAATAGAACTACTCATGTGCCCGAAATGTTGTTCACACAGACATATTATTTTTCATTTTTGGCATACGGCTTACACCCACCCTATAAACTCCAACAACTGGTCTTGTTTTTCTATACTTTAGTATCATTACAGAACAATGTTCTTTATTTGAAAATTAGAGTAACTATATTTAATAGATTATTTGAGAATAGGTTTCAAAAAAATGTAAAAATAGTATTCAATGTGTGAAAATACCCTGGTGCTAAAAGTCATAGGGAAAATAAAACATTTCAAACAACTATCTACTGGTTTACTTGATATGTTTTTTGTGAAAATTAGCAACAAGATGGTATATTCTCCTATTGTCTTGTTAGTTCCTTATGTTTTAGGTGGAATCTGCAATGACAATGACTAGAAAAAGTATGTGTCTTACTGCAGTATATTCAACGTGATATTCGAGTTCTTGAAAGGCTGAAACGCCTCCAAAATCATGTCTTTCACAGAACTAATTGGATTTATTTATGAATTTGCAGAGCCTCGCGGAGTAGGGTTTTAGCACAGTTTGCTGATTGATTGGTGGCTAAAGTTTTAGTCTTTGTGTTTTAGAATTTGTTGTCACAGACATTATAAGCACGAATTACTGGCACTTTTGTCCGTTTCTTTTCTGAAAGGTACTTGTGTGTTGATGCTCTGAATGCTCTACCAGTTTTTGGAGATTGAGATGCAGTTCATTCGACTTTTTATTTTTGTTTGTTTGTTATTCTTGTTTAGGTCCGTGTGAATGCCACTTTTGAGTTAATTTTTTATCTTGGCGTTGTGAAGGAGTTCTTGAAGGATTTTTTGAGTTTCAGACTGTCAGTTGTGGTAAAAGTTGATTGTTCCCTGGTTAGTTAAATTAATAGTGCATAATATTTGGAGTTTGGGTTTCTGTTCATTTGAGTATTGGAGATTTGGAGATATGTTTGAGTATATACTTTGAGTGAATTTGACATATTGGACGTGTGGAGGGAAATATGGAAACGGATTTGCGTTTCGGTAGTGGTAACATAGGGTTGTTCAATGGTCATTAGATTAACTATGCATAGTAAAGGTAATGGTAAAATCTCAAATTTAAAAGATGGAGTTTTTTTTGAAAATAAAAAGATGGAGTTGAAAGCCATACAATTAAGAAAAGGAATGGACATATTAATGTTGCTGACTTGATGTTTCAAGACGAGGAGGATAAACTTTTTGCCTTTTTGGTAAACTTTTTTCCCTCATGTTGTTTATGATGATTTGAATTTTGAAAGCCTAGAACCATGGTTTAAATATGCTAATACACCTAATTTTCCTTCTGTTCTAGGACATGGTTAAGTTTGAGAATCATAAAGCTCCTCTCAAATTAGTGCTCTTGAAAAGTTGAAATGCTTCTGATTTGCACTTAACTCTTTTTGGGGATTTCGTTTTATAAAAGTAAGATGACATGACTTCTTATTTTAAAAGATAAATGTGATAACTATGATTATATTAACCGTAAAAGATATTGTTATACTCCTTAGCATAGCTTTTTAAATCTCTCTCGTGCAGGACATAATTCTACTTCATACCATAAGATTATATAATTTTTTTAGCATAAATGCAACCCACCCATTGTCAGATGCTACATTTGAATACTGCATTTGTTGCAGAGGAGAGTTTATGTATGCTTTCTATTTCACCATCTCAATATTAAGATGAAATTAGATATCACTGTGTCCAATGTTTACTTGATAGATTCAACTATACCACTAACTTCATACATACTTCTTAAATAGATACTTTGCGCAAATGATTTGTCTGTTGGGCATATACCAATCGCGCAACGCGCGTAGAAAAACTAGTAATTGAACAAAGGAGAATGTTAAGATAAATAAGTTACAACTTACAACGTTATGCCACCAACCAAATAATAATAAGCCACATTTTTTAATATGCTCGCATAACATAACTTATAACGGAGTTCATTGCTTTTATAATTTTCTGTTCTCCATACTGGCTTAATCTCTTGCAAAATCACCTTTTTCATACATTTTTCGATTAATCTAATAAATGCTAACATGCTTTCGTGTTTTAGTTGTCACATTGGAGTATTGGACTTTGAGTTTTATCAATAGTCAATACATCAATATCATTAGTTTTGCAGATATTCTGCAGCAATTTTATCATTTTAATGCACATCTGTTTCTCTACTATCGCATTTATAAAACTGCTGGAAAAGCCAATACGACAAAACTTGCAGTATCTGATAAATTGAAACAAAAAGTCCCCTAGTAATGGCACAAACCCAATAATAAATACAGACTACCAATCTACAATACAGAAGTTCTTTCAGACGTTGATGGATCCCAGCCTGGGGGTTTGATATCTGGCCAGTCACCTCGGCACCCTAATCTTATGTATAGACTCTTTTTACCTGTACAGAATGAAATCATTGGAGTTAAAGGTGTCCCAAGTTATGGTACTATCTACATTGGAGTTAACAACTCATTTGCAAAGCGTTAAGTTAGATCTGATGACCATAGTGCATAAACTTGATGAAATTGTGGCTGAACTAGCTGAAATATCTAAAAATACATTTTTTTTACAAATTTTGTATTATCTAAAAGTGAGGATATACATGTCATTTTAAAGTCACTTGAGTAACTGCAACGCAAAGCAGTATGCACCCCACAAATTGATTCGGCCATCATAGTTATATATGTTAGTTTAGTAAAAACAAAAAAATATAGTTATAAGCAGAAAAGGATACCAAAAGGGCACTAAGCTTGCATTAGAGCATAGAGACTTGCAAATAAGTGACACCAAGAAGTTCATAGCAACAAGTAGAAAGAGCAAAGTACCTGAGAGGTTTTTATCTGACACAATTAACTGTTTTAGGGCACCAAGTACAGCTTGAGCAACTGTCTTGGAGTATGTAGGATCCCAGCCTCCAAGCTTAACTACTACCTCAGCATTAGAGTAACCTTGAAGATACCCTTCCATCTGCTTCCGGGCTTCCTCTTTGGCCATATCTTCATCTGAAATTGAAGTTCATGAAAATCAAACAATAACAGATCTTTACCAAATCAGAAAGATTCAAAACATACAGATCTTTATGAAGTGCATTAGGGGAACACTCATATTCCATGAAGTGCATGTTGATTTTACAATATTATGAGATGACAAACTGTAATTAAACAAATATTTCCTCCGTCCCAAAACAATGTGCAAACTTGTATGTTTAAGGTTGACCATCTTTAAATCATCCCGGCGAATATTTAAATCAGTAAAAATATTGAAAACTTATATATTTAGAAACTACAATAAATGTTCTATTCAAGTGAAAACTGAATCCTGATAGGATAAAAATTTGAAACTCAAAAGTTCAGAATAAATATGAATCATGTTTCCAATGAAGAGTGAAATACCAAATCACTTTGGACGGAGGGAGTAGGAAAGTTGGCAAGTAAGATTTCTTAATATGTCAGGATTGTCTAACAATCTAAAACTTATTGAAGGACTTATTCTATCACATATAGCTGATGTATGCCACTATTCAAACAGAGAAACAGAGAAAGAGGTTTTACAATGATACCTGTAGCTTGAGATTGAGATAACCAGATTGTGAACCCGGAAAAGAGATGTCGCCATCTGTTGGATCTTCTAGCAGCACCATGCATCTCTCCTCCTAAAGTTGCCACTACAGCACGGGTGTGGCTGAAACGTGAAGTTTCCAATAAGACGCCTCCAGTTCTCAGCACTAATCCATGATTATGGGTTGTATTAGTAGTAGTTTAGTACATAATACCTACTGAGGCTTTCAAATATGGCACTCTCTGAATCTGCCACGGCATCGGGTCCCTCCTTGCTTGCCCCTAACATAGAGGGACATAAGCAGCAGTGTTATATTTCGTTTGGCATCGATATCATGGATCGATTCATGTTAGCCGACCCCAAAAATATTTTGGAATTAAGGCTTGGATGTTGTTGCTGTTGTATGCATGCTAAAAGATATGATTAGTCTTTAAATATTTCCTTAACATGTATGAGTATAACAAAATTTTTAAGCTATGAATGCTAAATGAGATAACTAAGCTCCTGCACATCCCCTTAGGCCCTTACTGGACCTATTGAGCATGAGAGTCAATGCTAAAACACCATTGAGCCCCTTTTCACGCATGAAACCCAACACTATTCATAATTGGGTTGAGATAACTCAACTTGCCTATAATACCATGGTCAAATCAGTCTAAAAACTGCATCACATCGATTAGCAAGTCTAAAGTCTACACTGGGACATTATAAACTCAAATGTATCTCTCTAATGCTCTCTCCGTATTAAAATGTTTGCTGCAATAGGGTTTCACTCAATACTTAAGAGAAAAAGTAGTAGGGGGAATGAATAGTATAGAAAAAGTAAGAGAGAGAGTGGAAATGAATAAAAAAGAGAAGATAAAGAGTAGAAAAGGCAAGGGTGATTGAGTATTTTTAAAGGGAAAAACTTACCAAAAGGTAAAGTGTAGCAAAAATAAAAATGCATCCCAAAAAGAAAGTGTGGCAAACATTTCAATGTGGAGGGAGTATGTTGATTTGGGGCCATGGAGTATTAATAGCATAGATGGGACGATGGTGTATAATTGGTGGGTCAATCGAGGTTTGCACATCTCGGTCAATAATAGATTTCACACTTAAAAATTACTTTCAGCCGTAATAGAACTTGATGCAATGGAGATTGGTGAAAAGACAAAAACTGTTTTTTGGCATTAATGAGTATGTCTATATCTCAAAAAAGACATGTGTTTCATCAAGGTAAAAGCATACAAATTTTAAACTTTAGCGAGGTAACTATTGGATATTATCACTTCGAACTACATTTTTAAATTTATTTGTTGGGTTAACTAAATTCAACAATTAACTTGTATGAGACATTTTTTTAACAAATTACATTGGGTATAGTAATACCTCCGTCCTAGGCAAAGGTCCTCATCCACTATTCTCCTGTCAACATAAATTATTCTTAATCTTTTATTCTATATATCCAACTTTTATCAAATTTATGTTTTTTTGTGACTTTATAAAACTTTTAGTATAGTTTCTGAATATGTAAATTTTATTACTAAAAAATAATCTTATATTGGCAGGGATTAGTTAACTTTAACATCATAAACCGCGTGAGAAATTTTACCCAGGATGGAGGGAATAATATTATACTCATTTTGTTCAATTAGGACTTCCTTGGGGAGCACGTAGTTACCACAGAGAACACTTTTCTGGAAGGGGGGGGGGGGGAAAGAAAACTCACATGAATCAAAGGATTCCTTGGTATAGGCTTCCAAGAGATCCATTGTACTGAGTGGAGTATACCTGAAAGCCAGAAGAGACTTAAGGCCTGTTTGGATGGAAGGCTTTGGAGAGGAAGAATTTGGAGGTCTCAGACATATCTTTATAAATAGAATGTTTCTAAAACAAATAAAGGGCGATCAAAATGATACCAAATAACTATTATGTTAATCTTTCAAATTTTATAAATAAATAAATAAATAAATAAATAAATAAATAAATACTCCCTCCGTTCCATAACATTCTTCCTTATTTGACTTAGATCGAAGTTTAAGAAAGTGACAATGAAGTGGAAATATACGGTTGTGGTTGAGTAAGAGACAGGTAAATGAATGTTAGCCACACAAAACTTAAAAAAAGGGAAATATGAACAATTTTTGGAACATCACAAAAAGGTAATTGAGAAGAATTTTATGGGACGGAGGAGTGTGTAAATAGATTAATCTCAAATATATGTTCTTCCCCGCCAAAATCCCTCAACCAACATAGCCATTAGCCAAGGAAGAGATGGCCTTACGCCCCCCCTTACCCAATACCAACTGCTAGTTCTCGAGCTATTGTCTGATTGGTATCTGTAGATTCTCCAACTAAGTATATAGATGTTCCTTTGAGAAGTTCCTTAACTCCTGTGGTTAGGGATTCCCATGACTCCACAATGTCAGGCCATTTCACTTCAGGATCTAGTTTCTTCAGGCTGATAACCAGTTGATTATCATCTATATACCTGAGTAAACCACAACCACTTAGAGTAAAAATGTACTCGTATATAAATATGTGATATGTTTCTCATCTTATCTTACTAAGAAAACCAGAAATGATTGACCATTCAGTTCACCATATGGTCTCAGAAGGCTTTATCCTCTCATACAAAACACCGGTCTCCATTAGAGTTCGAATGGATCCAGAATGCTGCATTCTAATTGTTAATGAACTCTCATTTGAATCAATAAATATGTCTTTAGGACTTATGTCTCCTCCATTGCCAAGATCTAACCGCAGCTCCACATCAGATGACCCATCAAAAAACTGCAAATTTTTGTTTGACATCAAATTGTTTGGCGGTTCGAAAACATTTACAAACTGAAAATAAATCCAGATAACAAAAAAATAAACAAAAAACCTATTAATTAAAATGGTCATAACATTTGATTATCCTTATCATCATAATCATCCCTCACAGTTCCACTTAGTTCTACTGCTAACTTTAAACCCATTTGAGCATTAAAAAATTAGCTTAAATCACACAAAAACGGAAATGTTGGAATGTTACTTACAACTTATGAGTTGTAACGGTCCACTTTTACAACTTAGAAACACTGCTTGTTGGAAGATAAACACTCATCCGTTCTCTTTTAGTTGCAAGTTGCAACGTTTGACCATGTACAAGTTTGACCATTATATCTTATTAGTAAAAAAATTACAAAATTCACATTTTGAAATTGAAAATGAGATAACTTTAACAATATTTCTCAAAAATTTAGCAAAACGGAGATAGTATAAACAGTAAGCTTTGTCGAGAGAATAAATTCAACTTCCCCATTTTCTTGAAATAGAAATTGAAGTGGATAAGGTCATGGGTTAACAAATAAACCAATCAATTTCTATAAAATCCAGCGGAAAAAGTCGAGCCGGAGTAAAACCAGGAATACCTCATAATGGGTCTCGCTCGTAGAGATAGTGTGAGGAGAGGTGCAGCGGAGGAGGCGAGTTGGTGCCCTGAGACTGCTAGAAGCCGAAGGTCGTATTTTCAACGAAGTGCCCGAAATGGGATTCCAAATTTTATGATTTGAGAATGAAAGTAAAGAATGTGCAGAATAGATAGGACAAGTTTTGATTGGGATGGTGTGGAAGAGAAATGATGAGAGAGCAGTAGCTGAGGAAGTAGCCATTGATGCAGGTAACACTGGATGAGGCTCCTGCAATCCTTAAGGGAGAATTTTGGGTGTACACTATTTTGTTGTAGAATTTCAGTTCACACAAAACCTCACTTGTTTTGTTGTACTAGGTAGAATTTTACATAGACAAAACAAACATCCTTTAGTGCTTGTAACTCGCAAGGATGAGACAATTTTTTTTGGTCTTCTTATGTTAAGTTTGGTCTGATGTGATCTGTTTAAGTTTGATTTGCTTTAAATAGATCCGGTCTACGACTGAAGAGTCTAACTAAAAGCATCCTAATTCCCGCCTATCAATAGAAAATTGATGTTTTTGTACTCATCCCTTGTACCTACTCTTATACTCATACTTGTGAGAGATTATTTTTTGTTTGTGACTCTTGTTCACAGACAAAACAAATACTCCGTATGTTTTTGTCTATGAAAATTCTTACGGGAAAAAATGTGTTTGTTTTGTCTTTGAGCAGGACTCATATATAAAAAATAGCTTCTCACAAGAGTAAGTATAATGGTGAGTATAATGGTGAGTACAATTAGCAAAATTGGCTAAAGTAAGAAGAGTGGACCACATTATTTTAATGTTTTTGAGTGGACTAGTTCAGAATGTCATAGTATTAATTAAATTAAATCAAATTAAACTAAATTAGATTGTGTTAGACTTCAATAAAATTTAAAAGACTAGATTATACTAGGTCATATTAGAAAATTATAAAACATAAAAACATCATTTTTGTGTCGCACTTTGCTCGAATATGACTATGTCCAATATCAGTCATTTGTATAAATATAATTAAGTTATCTTACTTGTGAATAATAATAATTTCTATTAATATGCAATATTACAGTGGATAGTTAATCACATTGAAATGGTTGTATTGAAGACTTACAAGTTACTCAAATTATGGATTTCTTTTTATATTTTTAAGTCATTACAATGATTTATAGTGATTTACACGCCACTCAAATGATTTGTTCTTCAAAACATGGATAGTTACCTTTTTAATATGCCCATCGGTTGCTCATTTGAACACAATATATAATAAATTAAAGAAAACGTATTAGCATATTGAAAAATTCGAAGTCCAACAACGATGGCCAAAGGTTAAATTTGCTTGACTCAAACAACCTAAAAAAGAACACTAATCTAAATACATGTGCCAAAGGAAAAAAACCATTTACACAACTATTATGTTATTTATTTACACACAAAAGAGTCATTATTCTTTTATATTTCACCGAATAAACTAATAAAAATGTCAAGAGACATGTAATTATGAAGTATCAAACTCAAAAGTGATATTTTTAAATTAATATAATGATAAATGTTTTATGATACTTGTATTTAAAATCTTCATCATGGAATGGCTCAACAATTTAAATTGCCTATTTGAATAGTAAATATCTTGTGATCAAACAAACTGTTGATGATGTTGAAAGATAAACAAACAATCAAGAATATTAGATTATGTGATAACTCGCATCATGAGTAAATAAATCATCATTAGTATAATATCATATTCATTTAATTATAACGGAGAGGAAAAAATAATAATTTTTGGCAATGTATTCTATAAAATGATTAATCTGTCTGGTCTACTTTGTTTTTCTAATTATATTTTGGGATAGACCTAAGATTCTCATCTCATATTCTTTGATAAAAATATATGGTGTTGTTATTATTATCATTTTTCGAAATAGACTTCAGTCATACATTTTACTTTATCAACAAGTGCCACAATGTTGAAATGAGAATAAAGTATTAGAACACTTGATGTATTTTTTTATTACGCTTTTTGAAAGGGACATCAAGTTTTTATTAACCAAAAAAGCGTATCAATTTAATTTGAAGGGAGCATATTGCCAATGGCCTAGCACAAACCCTCCAAGAGGCATACCAGCTTAAACTTCCACTTGACTTTTTTAGATGCCCTACCTAAAAAAAATCATTTCTATTTTAGAAAATAATGAGCACTCCTAAATGACAAACTAATCATCAAATATTAAAATAATACACCTATGAAATAACAGTTATCATCAATGACTTCATTATGTGATATACCTGTCAAATTTATTTTTGAAATTATGCTCGGATTATCTTATTTAACAATTGTCTATATATTCTTGTCATTTTTCAATGAAAAACTTAAGCCGGAACGAAAGTAGTAAGCCACTACAATCAATTGTCGAAGGGTCGAGAAAATGGCTCTCTTATGATATGACTACATGAGTACTTTTAGGCATTTGTATGAATACCTTGTATGCAACATAGTGAACCAAAATCTTTAAAGTTGCACTCTTAGGACTGTAATCTGTCTCAAACCAGATTAGACCAGACCAGATTAGACCAGACCAGATCAGACTTGGGTAGTTATAAAAATACAAAAAAACCATGACAGACCAGACCAGTTCAGACCAAACTGGACCAGACCAGAAAATTACAGTCCAAGTAAAAACATCCTATCGTACTTCGGCAAAGGATGATATGAAAACAATATGAATCTATTTCGTATTAATGGAAATATCATAAGCCCAAGATATATACCTTGTTCCAAATTTCCAATTATCATTCAGCGTAACTCCGCGTAAGGCATAAGCACAATTTGATAAATAAAAAATACGGAGTAGATTGCTTTCTAGTATTTGTTGTCAACCACAAGAGTTAGCAAACTACTTATTATTTGGACAGGTAAACCATTTGAAGCTCAATGGTTTCTTATAACTTGCAGCTAGAAATATGAATTCTGAAAGTCGTTTGAAGCTCTTCCTAGACCTATTCATAGTTCAGCAAATTTTGGTAGTGGAATTGCGGCTATCGAAGGGGGAAAGATATTTCATTTCCTGGTAATACTACGCAGTAGTTCATTATTGAACACTTGAACCTGTATTATTAGGATGTTTTTACTTGGACTGTAATTTGTCCCAGACCAGACTTCGATATTTATAAAAATACAAAGAAACCAGACCAGACCAGTTCAGACCAGACCAGACTAGATCAGACCAGACCAGCAAATTACGGTCCAAGTAAAAACATCCTTAGTAAACCTAAAATTGTAGTCTGATCAGTTTATAATACTGGAGTAATGAACAAGGATATATGTCAACTAAATTAGAAGGTAACAAAAGATTACTCGTACTTTATCAAACTAGTTACATGAAACAATAATCCAAGAATTCAAAATCTCATCGAACAATCTGCAGAAACATGTTTAAAATTTACTCAAAGTCGTCAGTTGAAGTCCTAAGGCAGTGCCCTAGCTACATCCATAACAACAATTCAATTGGATATCAATCATATCATCAGAGTGAACAACAATAATTTTCGGGATATTAAATGAATACATGAAATAAATATATTTATTGAATTAAATGATCTGGACAATAAATTCACATATTATGAGCCCGTTTGGAGAACTCTGTTTTCGGCTTATCAGGCTTATCAACCAGCTTTTTCACCAAACACGTAACTTTTACTTTCGCGCGCTGAATTGTGTAATAAGCCGAAAAAGTAAGGTTGGAGTTACTTTTCTGGCTGTATTGGCTGAAGTTACTGTAGAGGACCATTTTAGCTATTTTTACATATAATTTTTTCTTTAATTTATTAATAAAATATATTTTTAAAATATTTTTTTCTTAAATCAGCAGAATCAGCCAAAACAGCCACTCCAGCCAGAATATCATAAATTTCAGCAGAATCAGCCAAAACAGCCGATTTTGGTGCTACCAAACGGGCTCTATATACATGACAAATGGCTACACATATATGGAAATGAAACTTATTGAAATTGAACGGTGGAGGTAGACATAGAGATGACCAAACGTTACCGGCTTGTAGTTTAACCTAAAGAAAACAAGAACACAAAGCTTGTAAGTTTAACGGGAAAATGAAAACATGATGGCATTAACAAAGAGTACAACAATATATAATACATAATGCACAACATCTTATTCCCATACTTTTACACCAACAAAGTTGCTATACCTTTTAAACTCTTACTCTCATTCACTCTTAAAAGTTTTTGAAGATTAAAGATTTTAAGATTTGCAATCTTGGTGACAAAATTTGTAAATCGCACTTGAGATGATTCAACGTGAAATCCAACTATTATAAATAGGGCCCTGATAGTACTCTTCTGTATAATTACTAGCCCAATATCAATTCATGGTCTTCATCGTCAGGATCAGCGAGCATCAATTCAATGAAGGAATGCCCACAATGACCCCGAATCACAAGTAATATATGTCCATGAAGTATAAGTGCATGACGAATCTCAGCCGGTGCATGGTGATTGAAGCTTATCCATGGTGAGCATGGTGACCATGGATGCAAACTGATAGTCTATCCAGTAATAGCATATACATGGTGACCATGAATACATACTAATAGATACACAATGAGTATGATTGCATGATCACCCTAAATGTATAGGCTATATTGGGATGAAGCCCGGGGCAACTTAATTTTATTTTTCAAATTTTTAGTGTAAATTTTTTCATTTTTCATATTTAGGTCACCCCTCTCATGTTTAATTTCTCATGTATCAGTCCACTCTAATCCGAATTCCTGGATCTGCCCCTGTATGTGGTGATCATGAACACATACTGTTAAATCTCTAAGGAACTTGAGTACATGGTGACCTTGTATGAATAGTGATGGAAGCTTGTCACGATAGAACATGTGCTTGTTAACCATGGACACAAGACCCTAAAAGTCAAAAGACTAGAGAACGTGAGCGCATGTTTACCCTAAGGATACATTGGTAAAAGCTTGTCCTGGGAGTTCATGTATATCCCATATCGATTTATACTAAAAAAATAGCATCTTTAGGACTTAGGACTTTAGGAGGTTTATGGAAAATTTCGTAAATCACGTCACACTAACATGTCAACCACGAGAAAGTGACCAAGCCATCCCAAATAGTGATGTCTTATCTTTTACTATAAAATTATTATGTAACTCTTGAAAGAGATTGATCAAGCACAATATAATATAGTCAACATTCCTATCTCTTTGAGAAGTACTATTTACTACTTTTAATGATTTTTGGTAATCCATTAATATTTTCAAATGAATTTAGCTCCATCAATACTAATTAATGAATATGGCTAAAGTAAAATCTGAAAAGCATAAAAATGAAAAATAGTGTTAATTTAACAATCTATTTGACAACACTAAAATTGGTTGAATCAACTCTAACAGTTGAAATTTGTCGTATTATAAAAAAAATATAAGTATGTTTTGTTAATAAAATAAGAAAAAATTATATGAAGTAGCCAAAGGCTCAAAAGAGTCATTTGCATCAATTCAAGTAATTCAGCCAGAAAAGTCATTGGACCTTTACTTATTATTACAATATTCAGCGCGTGAAATTCAAATTTACGTGCTTCATAAAAAATTGATCAATAATGCTAATAATTAAGCAAAAAAATAGATATCCACAAAAGAGCTCTAAAATAGATATCCACAAAAGAGCTCTAAAAAGTTAAAGATTTTAATACATGATAAGAAAGGAAAATCATTAGACACTACTACGAAAGTTGTATAACTTGTATTCAAAGATATTTTTCAAAATCTCTAACACGTAAGTTTAATATGTTACTTTTAATATTTATTTTATTAACTTACACTATTCTCTTTATGATATTGACTTGTTGTACTTGCTTTTAAGAACAATGCCAACTTTTTAAATTTAGTTTCCTTTTGTAATTAATTAGATCATAATTACAAATATATTCATGGATCATTTCCCCGTGTATATGCACGGGTACTGTACTAGTTAAGCAAAAAAAACCACAAAAGAGCTCTAATAGTTTCTCCCTCCGTCCCGAAATAATGATGATTGCGTTAGCACAAGTTTTGAGAAAGTAGTTTTTTTTAACGAAACTTGCTTAACTTATCATTACCAAACAGATCAAACAGACCGAACCAAAACAGGTTACAAAGTGACAACAAGTCTCTTGTCCACCGTCCGCCCAAAGACCAGACTCTGAATTAATCACCTCCGTAGAAACCATATAATTCAATCATCCCGCTTTGGGCTTACCTGAGCCAATGACTTGCAGACACGACTCCTCATCTATTGTTTTAGATTCACCAGTTTTTTTGCTGGAAAAACAGACCCACAACCAAAACAAAAACAACATCCAGGACGTGGGAAATAAATAAAACAAAATAAATAGAGTAAATAAGTTTCTCAGCTAAAGAAGCCGTAATCAGCATCAGATCATCTGGCGGGGCTGGAGACCACCGCCCGCCCCTACCCCGTTTTTTGGGGAGTCCAGCGCCATAGCATCCTTTGCAGCATCCTCCCTAGCATGATCCTCCCAAGTTCGTCTCCTCTTCATCTCTCCTGGTGCTTCTTCCTCTTCTATCTCACCTGAGATCATAGCATTCCCCATTCCCGCTTTGGTGCTCCCTTCTATTGCATCCGGGTCCACCTCCTGCATGACCTCACTATACTAGATGTATACGTGGCACCTCCGGAGGAGCTCCCTTCCGAAATCAGTCATTTGCTACCCATGTTTCGTTTTGATTTCCTTCCACTCCCTCTAAGCCACAGTCCAAAAGGTCTAGTCATAGCTTGCCCCTCGTTTTCGTACAGAAGAGGACAAAATTTCTCTGCATGTCCAATCACACCACAACAAAAGCAGAAACTCGGCAGCTTTTCATACTTAAAGTCTACCCAATACCCTTCTCCCTTACTCTTCCTTAGAGTGGTCCCAATCTTTAAAGCTTTACCGGTGTTCATGCGGACTCTCACACGCATATAAGTCTCCTTTTTTTATCAAATTTTTTATCATTCCAAGTGACAAATTCCCTCAAATGATTCCCAATTCTCCTTGTCATTCCCATATTTTCAAAACTATACGGCACATTATGAACCTGTACCCAGATCTCAAACTCATCTAGCAACGTCTTAATCGGGATATCACCTGGTTGAACAGCTTTTAGCACAATCAAATTCTAATCAAACAGCCAGGGTCCATTATCCAGGACACGATTCATATCAACAGAATGGAAGAATCTAAACAGATACCTCCGTTCGCCGATCTCTTGTATAGAGATTCCTTTGCCCGGACGCCATAAATCAGCCATGAAATCCCTGAAGAACGGAAATCGAATGACTTTGTTCATGAGAATCGTCTCAACCACCGGAAATTCCTTTACCTTCACTGCCCCGATAGCTGATTTTCCTTCCTCTTCATCTTCATTCATGAGTTCATCCTCTAATCCTCCAATTCTCAGGCCTCCATACTTAGCAACGAGCTTACCTACATGTTCGTCTTCCTGTTCTCGGTCCTCTCTACGTCCATCATCTCATGCATCCTCCATCTCACTGTCGCACCAGTCGTCCGAGACTCGCCCCTCGGCTCCACTAATCAGCAATCGTCCAGCGCCGCACGAAGACGACGAAGCCGCTCGACCCTCAGCTCTCGCTAGGGTAGTTGTGAATAGAGATGTCTATTTTGAGAAAGTTGTTAAAATATAAAAATTATGATTGAGATTTGAGTACGAAAAAAACTTGTTATAAAAGAAAAGCAAGATAGTCATTTTTGGTATTAGAGCCTGTTTGGTGGCAAAAAAATCGGCTGATTTGGCTGATTCTTTTGAAATTTATGAAGTTCTGGCTGAAGTGGCTGCATTGGCTGATTCTGCTGATTTAAGAACAAATTATTTTCAAAATATATTTTATTAATAAAATAAAGAAAAAAGTATATGTAAAAATAACTAAAATGGTCATCTACAGTAACTTCAGCCAATGCAGCCAGAAAAGTAACTCCAACCTTACTTTTTCTGCTTATAACACAATTCAGCGTGCGAAAGCAAAAGTTACGTGTTTGGTAAAAAAATTGGTTGATAAGCCCGATAAACCGAAAAACGTGTTGGCAAAGGGCCTCTTAATTTCATTAATAGACTAAAAACGGATAATGTTGGTGTAACCAAAATGGCACCAACTAGGCAAATAGCATCATTACCATTTACATGTACTACAGCAGCAAATCACAAGAACCAGTTGAAGAAATGACACGAATCCCAGTGTACTCTGCATCGCGAGTAGTACGTAGGAATTTTCTTGGAATTCTAGCCCCTAGCAATGCGTCAATGTCTGCACGTTTCGCAGCCACACTTTCCGTGAAGGTTGATGAAGAATTCCAATTCTCTTCTCATCATTCCTTGTCCAATCACCTTTCTCGTGCCGCAGCACATCATGCCAATGCGATCAAAGATGGATCTTCAGTCCGTAGCCTGCATGTGCGCAACAGCATCTTGACTCACTACTTAAAAAGCAATCTCTTAAATAATGCCTATAAACTGTTCGATGAATTTCCCCACAGAGATGTTCTAACGTGGACAACAGTTTTATCAAGCTTAGCTCGTTCTGGGTTCTGCCAAGAAGCTATGGGTATCTTTGTGAGGGTGCTGAAAGAAGGAACCGTGCTTCCAAACAGATTCACTCTATTCGGTGTCTTGAAGTGTTGTTCCAGTGTTAGTGATGGGTTGAGAAAAGGAAAGTCTCTTCATGGTTGGATAGTCATTCGTGGGATGCACTTGGATATTGCTTTGGAGAATGCTATTCTTGATTTCTATGTGAAATATGAAGCGTTTGATTGTGCAGAACAGTTTTTCGAATCGATGGGAATTAAAAATGCAGCATCTTGGAATATAATGCTAGCCAGGTATGTCACAATGGGAGATATGGAGAGATGTGTAGATTTTTTCTGGAGGATGGAGTTGAAAGATGTGTCCAGTTGGAATACAATAGTGAGTGGACTTTTGCTGCATGGGTTTGAGAGGCTTGCATTGGATTTCCTCTATGAATTTTCAAAACAGCAAGGACCAGGATCTGCTTTTAACAAGCTCACATTTTCAATATCACTGAAGTTGGTGCCTTCTTTGATTAGTTTTAAACTAGGGAGACAGATCCATGGTAAAGTCATAAGGGATGGTAAGCTTCATGATGATTCCTTGAGGACTTCCCTTATTGATATGTATTGCAAATGTAAGCAGATGGACAAAGTATCAGGATTCTTTAAGATTTGAGAGCCCATTTTAATATTAATACTGCCTCTGTAACTCTGTTTTCATTTTCTTTCGCTTTTGGTTGTGCCACCAATTTTTGAGAATGTGAGGAGAACCCATTTTAAAACTCCTTTTGTTGAAGGAAAGTAAGCCTAAAGTTTCACTAAAAATGGAAATAAGAATAAAGAACTTTTGGAGAATGGTCGAAAAGGAAGAACATTTAGAGGATGGAGTATAATAGTCGCCCAAGTGAAAGTTTCCTGAATTGTGCATAATCAGTAATTCCCCCAGGTCAACGGTCAAATTGAGATCACAAGATTCACAGGTCTTCCTGAAATCTATATATATATATATATATATATATATATATATATATATATATATATATATATAAGCAGAACCGGTTGGGAAAAACTGTTCCCACCCTTGGACATCATGTGCAAACCATGCGCAAAAACTGATGCAATTCCGCAGGGTAGATGGCAGTTATGCGGCCTGAAAATGATCTCACACGTGTGGAAAGGGAAACTAACAGTGTGTGTGCGGTTATAACTGCAAGTCTGCAAGTACTTAACTTCTGTACATGGGACCTTCAATTCATAAGTGATACTCTGGAACAACACCCGACCTTTGTCCCACTATCAATAGCTCCATAAAAATGAGTATTTTACACAGTTGAGACTTGAGACGTAAGCGCTAGAGCAAGCTCTTGGTGGCATCTACAGTGTTCTGAAGCAGAAACTTTGTCCCGTGTTTGAGGAGATGCAGAGGCTTGGAATCCCCCTTGACAATATCATGGTACCTTCCTGTTGTCAAATGTCAATCGAATCTTTCGTCTTCTATCGCACTCTTCAAGCTGCCACGTCTGGGCAGGAATTCCCACAGTGCGTTTTTTACCATTGGAAAGTGATACAATCAGATCCATTATTAGAGTCAGGAACACATGATGCTGAGCTTATTGTACAAACCCGCAGGAGGAAAGGTCTGAAGCCACAGATGACACCGCTCTGCGAGTATGATGACATATATGTTGAAGGTTTGTCTATCCTTGAGGCATGCAATGTTTGCTCAACTTTTTAAATTACGGGAAGAGTAAAAACTTTTGTCACACATTGGTGTGAGTTTTGTGTCGGTTTCAGATGGGCCTCTCTTTCTACTTGAGTATATATATTTGTCTGACCTTTCACTTTTTGGTAGTAGATAAATACCAGTATGGCAGTATACTCCTGCATCTATCATTAGTTATATTCGAGAAGTCAAGAACAAAGGGTGAACATATGAAGTACAAAATATTGGGCCGGCATTGAAGAGGATGTTGTGATCATGTGGATGTCCTCAATGAAAGCAAATTAACATGCCACCAAGTTGAAATGTATTTGTCACTATTCACGGTAACAGGTAAATACATACACTCACTGATACACATGTAAACAAACTTTGGCTTCATAATTTATTTTCACAAGCTGCTATGTAGAGCTTACCTAAATGTCAATAGTTTGGTTTTCTTTCTTATGGAACACTTATTATGATTTCACTATATATATGTAGTGTGTGCTACTTCATTGTATGTGTCCTACTCTGTATGAGGTTTACATTAAACTCTATATTATTTCGTAGTATAAAAAAATTACAAAGTCACGAATTGCATATTAAGAAATAAAGAAGGTACGCTAATAGTTTAGTACACAATTAGTGCTTTGTGTTTTGTCTATTTCACATAATACCGTTTGTATTTTGTTTAACGGTTTGATCTCTGAGTGAAAAATTGAATCGAACACACAAACATACCCAAAGACTTACGGAGTAAAATTCTACTAGAATAGATGTTCCAGACAAGCTTATTTTCTACTTATTAAAAAAAAACTATATTTAACATAAGAAAATTGTGTTAAAAATAGTATACTTTTTTTTCTTTCAAAACAGACATTTGTTCAAAGCAAAAAAAAAAGGCATTTGTTAATAAGAGTAAGAGCCCGTTTGGTGACTCTATTTTTCGGTTTATCAGACTTATCAGTCAACTTTTTCACGTTTGGTCTACGTTGGGGTAGACCCAGTCCGCCGGTCGGCCTGGTCCTAATCAGGCCCGACAATGTTAAGGACTGGCCCAAGACCGGTTTTCCGGTCCCTGTCAGAGACCCCCCCCCCCCCCCCCCCCGCCTCAACTTCGTTACCCGATCTTGGGTGCATCTTTTGGATCCGGACCGGCCGGGCTCAGGCTCGGCCCGATCCCGAACGGTCGTTTCTTTTTGCTTTTTCCATTTTCATGTTGGAGCACATATTTTGACCGTTTGAAAAGTCTCTACAACAAAAACAACAACAACCAAGCCTTAGTCCCATTGGCAGAGCTAGAAAATCGACCCATGGGGGTTGAAACTCAACTTTATATAGAATGAAAAAGATGGATCGTTTTTAGACAATACTCGAGTTAAATATTTCATATGTAGTTTTAGATAAATGCTAGTTAAAAATAGACTAATAGAGATATAGATTTTATATGCATGTCATATATATTATAAAGTTGTTTTATACGGGTTTAGTCGAAATGTTTCTGCACCGGTTGCTGCCTCGGATGAGAGTGTGTGCCTTCCCTTCTCACCCAACTTAATATCAAGCTTTCTTATCTGAAAAGAATCGGCTATTGAGTAGGCACTAGCGGCAGTAAAATAGGTTGTCTTTACTCTATCCCTGAGTTATGTCACACAATGAGTGAATTATTCGCTATTTTTGAAATTCGGGAATATAATCAAAATTATGCATCAAATTTCACTCATTTTAAGTTTAGATAGTGCTGATTTTACAGAAATCATAACTTTTTACTCGTAATGAATCACGAGAGCCATAATATATCAAATCGAAGGTATTACAGAGCTATAAACTGTCAAACTTTCGGGGGGGGGGGGGGGGGGCTGCTGACCACCCTGTCCCCTGCCTCCGCCCCTGCTTAGTCCCAAAAGATTTGGGATCGGCTAACATGAATCTATTCATGATATCAGTGCTAAAAGAGAAGAAAGACAAGGAAAAAAAGGGAAAACTATCAAATAAGCCCCTCTACTTTTCAAAAAAATCAATTAGAACCCCCAACTGAAAATTCTTCCAATTAAACCCTCAAACTCATTAAAAATGTCAATTCTTCCATATAGCCGGTAATGATCATATTAGCCGGTATCAATTAGATTCCTTTTTTTCTTTTTTTCTTTTCTCTATTTCCTTCTTCTTCGCCCCCTTCTCCTTCCACCCCCGGTTCCAACTTTCTTTGTTTCCTGTCACTTTCTTCCTTAGTTCCTTACACGTTCCCTTCTCCTTCCCTAGTTCTCTACTAGCTGCCATAATTTTCCTTTTCTTTGTTTTCTTTTTACATTTTTTCTTTCCTTCCCTCTTTCTTCCCTCTTTCTTCCCTCTTTATTTTCTTCTTCCCTTGGATTGAAACTTGGGTTTCTTCTGGCTTGAATTCCCAACCCGACGTTGCAGCTTCCTGTTTTGACCAACCACGCTGCAACCCAACTTCGCCCAGAACTTCCCCAACGCAAGCCAAATGATCAATTGAAATAATTTCTAACCCTGGATTTAACTTGGGTTTTCGATAGGCGAAGCTTGGAGACCCAGATTCAATTCGAGATTCCAACATCGGTGGCGGCTGACAATTTTCCAGGGGTCCGAATTGCATATGCAAAGGCGCTGCTTGACAGCTTGGAGGTGAGAGCACGTCACTGGGGATGGGCCAGCGAGATATCATCGACGATGAAGACTCCTGCTGGTCAGTCACGATGATGCGTCCATCTGCTCAGCCAAGACGGTGCATCCATTAGTTGGTTACGCACGAGGATGTATCCCTCTGGTCTGCTAGAAGCTGGGAGAGACTCAGAGACTAGACCTGGACTCGGGCCGGTTCGGGCCTGGGCCCGGCCGGGCCTCGGGCCAGGAAATGGGAGGCCCGGGCCCGAACCGCCGGTGGCCGGTTCCGGTCCCGGTTCCGGGCCAAACCGGGCCGGGCCGGGCCGGGCCGAACCGGCCCACTTAATTTTTTTTTTTTTTTGTTCTCCTATTTGATCCCCTACCCCTCCCCCTCAACCCCAAACCACCCCAAACCACCTCAAATGGCCCAAAATACCTATTCCAACCCAAAACTTTAAAAAAATTTCAAAAAAAAAAAAAAAAAATTAAAATCCGGCCCGGACCGGGCCCGAACCGGCCGGGCCGGTTCACCATTTGGAAGGCCCGGGCCCGGAACCGGGAACCACCGGGCCGGTTCGACCCGAACCGCCGGTGGACCGGGCCACCGGGCCGGGCCGGTTGCTACAGTGGCCGGGCCGGGCCGGTTCCGGGTCGGGCCGCCCGGCCCGAGTCCAGGCCTATCAGAGACCGAACGGGGGAAATCGGAAGGAAGCAAAAAGCAAAAGAAAAGAAAGAAAAAGGAATTGGGAAAATGAAAAAATAGCCACTAGCCGGTTAACTCGATTCATTACAGGTCAAAAAGAAGATTTGCCATTTTTTAAAGAGTTTGAGGGTTTGATTGAGCCAATTTTTAGTTAAGGGGTTTAATTGATTTTTTTGAAAAGTAAAGGGGCTTATTTGATAGTTTTCCCGGAAAAAAAAGATAAAATCAATAAGGTAAAGATAAATATAAGATAACATAACATATGAATATAAGAAAGGTAAAAGATTAAAAAACAATAGAGCATAAAAAGATAGAAGATAAAAATAACATAAGACTAGTTTGAAAAGTATCTACTGACCAAAAATGACTAGTTCAACCCCATGACTGTTTTGGGGGTGAGGGGTGCGGAGAACTCGGAAGAGTACGGAAATTCTAAATATTTTGTGTTGTTCTACACTTCTTTTTAGCAATTACTTTTTTATACAAATAATTATATGTATTATGTATACTCCAAATCTGAAGTATTTTGTAATGTTTTTCAAATTTAAAGTAATGTTTCTTTAAATGTACAAATCAATTAATTTTTTGAAGTACAAATACATTTATTTTTTAGTCCTTTTTTTATATTAAATTATTGGGCAATTTGGAAAAAATTGTCCGAAACCGGGATCGGCCGGTCTCGATCTGGGACCAGACTGAGTTTATGCTAAGTTCCAAGTCCTTGATTTTGATAATTTTTGTACTGCCAATTCCACATTTGCCGTTCAATGTCCTTCAGGCAAAATTTCTAGCACCTCGCTGGCGAGATTTAAGCACCTAAAATATAGATAGGATTAAATGTAGACAAAAAACGTGGCAAACCACAAAATAGGATTTGTATAAAACTCGCGAGATCAAAAATAGAATTTATTCTTATGTCAACAATCCACGTGTAACATGGAATCAGCCAACCAATGTGTGCAACATTGCTCACTGGAAATGTAGCAAATATGTAAGAAGAGAGGTCAAACACTCAAACCTTGCACACCCAAAATATAAGTCATATAAATGGACAAAGAGCAATGTAAGATAAGATATATAAAGCAGCATCGTTCACTGTTCAAAGCAAAACTGCAAAATTTATTATTCAGTGGATTATAAGTTACAACTCGGTGAAAATTAGATGCCCTTCTTATATTCTCATCTGTTCTGTGTATGAGAAATATCTGCTTCCAGGCATATTGATAAGATGCCTCAATTAATCAATGTTCAACTATTTTTAGTTCATCCAGCCATCAAGAAGCTCTCTTAGGAAGAGCCATATTACGAATTAGAGATACGGTTGTAGCAACTGAGAATATCTGTACCAAAAATCCTGCACAGACACAAAAAGTGTGTCTCAGTAATTACAATGGGCACTTGAGCATTTCAGACAACAAGATTCAGAAATTAAATGTTCAGTTTGAAGAGCTCACCAAGTATAATAGCAGCAATCTTCAGGACTTCAATATTTGGTGGCAGCAAGCTATTGAAAGTTTGAAGAACCTAGAAGCGAAATGCCGAGACATAATAGAAAAGAGAGTTCTAATATCTACACTTCAATAGTAGTAGGTAAACTTTTATGACAACTGTTGTGCACAACTTCATATCCGTGTACTGTGTAGCACAAATATGCAGACACACGGATACGAATATGAGGGCATGACAGTCTTAGAAAATACTCCGTATAGATCATATGTATTGGTGTATTTGTAAGCCTCAAAAATTGAAGGGAGTGATTTGCAAATGTAATCATTCTAATTTTTACAAAATAAATAATGGATGGTTTCAAAATATGCAAGCATCCATCAGTGAGGAGTTCTCATGTTGTGGCAATTTCACCCAGAAGGTAATGGGCCCACCATAAGGAAAATAATAGCAACAGCTGAATGATGATAGGGGTTGTTTAATGTTATTTTTGCGTTATCTTGTAAATGAGTAACACCACTTATTAAGCTATCATAGAATAGTTATATCTAGATCTGTGTTTTGTCAGAGAAACACATTCTGATATCTGTTCTTCTGAGATATGAAAGAAATCATATTTCACATTGAATGTTTTGCAATGTAATTTAGCTCGGATAGCTTTTAGGGGTCTTAGCTACATAGACACGGTTCCAAGTTGTGAAAGTATATTAGAATATACTTTAGAATATGCTTTAGAATATATTAGGAATATACCATATATAGTATTATTATATAGCATCTTTTATAGGAATATTCTATCTTTGTAATCTATATTTATAGGGCTTTACCCTTCAATGAAATACACAGAAAATCATTCTCTCCATCTTAAATATTATTCTAATTTATATTTCAACATGGTATCAGAGCCATCCAATTCAGTTTAGTTTTCAATTTTTTTTTAGTCTAGTTTTTCATATCTCATTTAGCTTTCAGACCGGGTTATTTCTCCAAGAACCTGAGTTCAGTCCAGAATCTTCAGAACCTCAGGCACCACACTGTCTTCAAGAAACTCTAAACACCCTCAAACCAGAACCTCTATTCAGAACATCAGCTCAGAAATTTTAGCTTCTCAGAACCTCCAAATCTCAGAACCTCTTCCCAGAACCTCCTACTTCCCAGAACCTCCAACCATCTTCCCGTAGAAATTCCCACAATTAATACATCTTTTCTGTCCGGAGATTTGATCGGAATTCTTCCACAGACTCGCCTGAGAGTCCCTCGTTCTTGCTCCAGCAAGGCAGCAAGGGACGGATATCTGTGAGACAGTGGGAGAAAGTCTGGTCGCTGACGTGCTGAGATCGCGCATATCTGTGGACGGACATCCGCTCCTTCGTCTAGTTGTTCGCAATCTGCTGGGGTCGCGCATATCTGTGGACATCCGCGCCGCTGGCAAAGCCGCCGAAGGGGAGTCCGTTACTTCCGATTCCACTCATGCCACCAACTCCGCCGTAGGAGACGAATTTAGTTCTTCTGGTCGTTGAAGGCGTTCTCACTTCCGCTCCGCTCCTTCACTAATTTGTTCGCACGTGCTGGGGTCTCGCATAACTCTGGAGTCAACGCCGTAACTTTTGAGTGCAAGCTGGATATTTTAGTTTCGAAATTGAGTCCACAAAAGGGGAAGTTGCTGTAAGTTTTCACTAATCATCTCATTTTTCTATCTACTTGCTGACTCATTAAAAAAAATTGTCTTGTACGGGTCAAGTTGACAGAGGAATAATATGCAATTACTGCAAGAAGCCCGGACACTTGATCAAAGAATGTAGAAAATTGGCATTCAAAAATCAAGGAAATTCGACTACTCTAGCTTCCGTTACCACTTCATCTGATGCCAAAGTTATGTGCTACAAAGAATCTCTAAAGCATTCTTTTGCTCCTACCTCGGTAATCGCCAATTCAGGTATCTCAAACACATGTCTTGTTTCATCATCCTCGAAATGGGTCATTGACTCAGGTGCCACAGACCATATGACCGGTAATCCTAGTCTATTCTCGTCATTTCATTCATATTTACCTACTTCTAGTGTCACTTTAGCTGATGGATCTACCTCACCCGTTCTTGGATCTGGTACCGTTGTTCCAACTTCTACATTACCATTATCGTCTGTTTTGAGTCTTCCTAATTTTGCATTTAATCTGCTTTCCATCAGTAAAATCACTCGTACTCTTAATTGTTTTGTAACATTTTTTCCTGGATATTGTGTGTTTCAGGATCTGTTAACGAAGCAGATTATTGGTAAAGGACATGAGTCAGCTGGTCTTTATATTTTGGATACATCCATCACAAAAGGTATCTCTTGTCTTGGGGTTGGGACTTTGTTAGATGCTCATTACCGATTAGGACATCCATCTCTCCCATTAATGAAGCAAATCAATCCCCAATTTAATAAGATGACCTCTTTACAATGTGAGTCATGTCAATTTGCGAAACACCATCGTACTAGCTTAAGCCCGCGAGTTAATAAACGAGCAAATGCTCCATTTGACCTTGTTCACTCCGATGTTTGGGGTGCTTGCCCGGTTGTGTCTAAAGCTGGTTTTAAATATTTTGTTACCTTTGTTGATGACTATTCCCATATGACATGGCTGTATTTCATGAAACGTCGATCTGAGTTGTTCACTCATTTTTCTTCCTTTTGTGCTGAAATTAAAACTCAGTTTAACGTTCCTGTTCGGGTGTTAAGAGGAGACAATGCCCAAGAATATCTATCTGCTACATTTAAGTCATTTATGCTTCAACATGGCATTATTCATCAAACTTCATGCGTTGACACACCTCCTCAAAATGGAGTTGCAGAACGAAAGAACCGACATCTGTTAGAAACTGCAAGGGCTCTTCTATTCCAAATGAATGTGCCTAAACAGTTTTGGGCAGATGCCGTGTCTACTGCATGTTTTTTGATAAATCGAATGCCATCTTCTGTTTTGAATGGTAAAGCTCCTTATCATTGTCTATTTCCAAACAAAGAGTTTTTTCCTATCCCACCTAAAATATTTGGTTGCACTTGTTTTGTTAGAGATGTTAATCCTCATCTTACAAAGTTAGATCCCAAATCATTAAAATGTATTTTCTTGGGTTATTCTCGAGCCCAAAAGGGGTATAGATGTTTTTGTCCGAGTACTGGTCGATATCTTGTTTCTATTGATGCATCATTTCATGAAAATACACCTTTTTCATCATCTAAGGCAGATATTCATGAGAGTAATGATGATATACTCATTTACATGATGATTATTCCCGAGTCCACACTTTCGACAAATATTCCACAAGTTACCGTTCCTGACCCTAGGCCTCCCGTACATTTGGTATACACCCGTCGACACAAAGCACCTGATCACCCTCCACCGGCGATACCTGTGATTACTTATCCTGATACTAGTTCGACTTCGATCTCATGTCCTGAACCGGTACCTGCAACTTCAGATCTTGTCTCCGCATCAGATCTTGACCTCCCAATAGCACTACGTAAAGGTACACGGTCTTGTACTCATCCTATTTCTTCATTTGTGTCGTACAATCAGTTATCTCCTGCTTCATGTTCTTTTATTGCTTCCATTGATTCTATTTCTGTTCCCAAATCTGTCAAAGAAGCTTTGTCTCATCCTGAATGGCGTCATGCCATGGTAGAGGAAATGAATGCTTTAGATCTTAATGGTACATGGGATTTGGTTGACTTGCCTACAGGGAAGAAATCTATTGGATGTAAGTGGGTCTTTGCTGTTAAGGTTAACCCAGACGGATCTGTTGCTCGGTTGAAAGCCCGATTAGTTGCGAAGGGTTATGCTCAAACCTATGGTGTTGATTATTCTGACACTTTTTCTCCTGTTGCTAAATTAACATCTGTCAGGTTACTTATTTCACTCGCTGCAACTCATGATTGGCACTTACATCAGTTGGACATAAAAAATGCATTTTTGCATGGTGACCTTAAGGAAGAAGTCTATATTGAGCAACCTCCGGGATTTGTTGCTCAGGGGGAGTATGGTAAAGTTTGTCGACTTCGCAAATCTCTTTATGGTCTGAAACAGAGTCCTCGTGCATGGTTTGGGAAATTCAGTCAATCAATTGAACAATTTGGAATGATAAAAGGCAAATCAGATCACTCTGTCTTTTACAAACAAACAGAATCAGGTGTCACATTGCTTGTGGTGTATGTTGATGATATTGTGATTATAGGGAGTGATAATGCAGGTATTTTGGCCCTTAAGAATTTTCTGCATAGTCAATTCCAGACGAAAGATCTTGGCTCTTTGAAATACTTTCTGGGAATTGAGGTAACACGAAGTAAGAAAGGCATATTTCTATCTCAACGTAAATATGTACTTGACTTACTAGCTGAGACAGAGAAATTTGGGCCAAAATCAAGTACAACACCCATGGTTCCCAACGTGCAACTCACTCAAGAAGGCACACCGTTTGAAGACCCAGAAAGGTATAGAAGACTGGTTGGAAAGCTTAATTATCTCGCAGTCACTCGTCCAGATATTGCCTATTCTGTGAGTGTAGTGAGTCGATACATGTCATCTCTAACCATTGATCATTGGGCTGCAGTAGAACACATATTATGTTACTTAAAGGGTGCACCAGGACGAGGTATTGTTTATCAAAACCATGATCACATGAGAATTGAATGTTTTGCAGATGTTGATTGGGCCGGTTCTAAAGATGATCGAAGATCTACATCTGGTTATTGTGTCTTTGTTGGTGGTAATCTTGTATCTTGGAAGAGTAAGAAGCAGAATGTGGTTTCTCGTTCGAGTGCCGAATCAGAATATCGAGCTATGGCACAATCTGCATGTGAGATCATATGGATAAGCCATTTATTGACCGAGCTCGGACTGAAGACATCAATGCCTGCTAAATTGTGGTGTGATAACCAAGCTGCTATACACATAGCAAACAATCCTGTATTTCATGAGAGAACAAAGCATATTGAGGTCGATTGTCATTTTATTCGAGAGAAGATACAAAAAGGATTGATCTCTACAGGATATGTGAAGACTGGGGAACAACTTGGAGATTTGTTCACTAAAGCACTAAATGGAATTCGAGTTGGTTATTTATGTAACAAGTTGGGCATGATAAATATCTATGCTCCAACTTGAGGGGGAGTGTGAAAGTATATTAGAATATACTTTAGAATATGCTTTAGAATATATTAGGAATATACCATATATAGTATTATTGTATAGCATCTTTTATAGGAATATTCTATCTTTGTAATCTATATTTATAGGGCTTTACCCTTCAATGAAATTCACAGAAAATCATTCTCTCCATCTTAAATATTATTCTAATTTATATTTCAACACAAGTATTAAAATCACTAGAGTACAGAGCAGTAAACAATCACATATATTTACCTCCAAAGTATTCTGGCTCATGGCAAAACATGTAGCAGGAAACAGCACAACTTTAAAAAGTTTGATCTGCTACGCTTTCGACCTTCAGCACACAACTAATGGAAATAAAAAGGGATATTTTGACTTTGCACCCCGCTTTTTGGGTGATATTGGATTTTGCACCCCATTTTCAAAATTCTTAGACTTTGCACTCTATTTTCCTTGAAATGTCTTTGCCTTTGCACCTCATTCAGGATTTTTTCTTCACAAAATGTTGTAGATAGGGTGCAAAGTCTAAAAGTTTTGAAAATGGGGTGCAAAGTCCAATATCACCCAAAAAGTAGGGTGCAAGCTCAAAATTCCCCAAATAAAAATTGTACAAGCATTATGTCATTACCTATGAAGGGCAAGCATGGGAGGATAAAAAAATCATACGTAGTATATAAACCTAATTCTCCAATTATAAGAGAGATGAAGCCTTTTGCAGCAGAGCAGAAAGCACATCTTTCAAATGTCTGTGTCTTCACTGCTACAATAAATGAGAGTGCTGCTATTATCGGTTGAACAACTGCCTGCAACAAAGAGTGCAGTTGAAATACATAGTAAACCATTATAATCCTTAACACACTAAAAAATGCAGTAACTTGGCCAATAAAATACACAAGTCCAATGATTGCCAATAAGAGAAAGAAAACAAAATTCTAAGCAGTTATAACTGCATATACCTGAATGAAGATTATCTTCGAAAGTTGAGATTTTCCTTTAGCAACTTTTTGGTACCCTAATTAAAAAATGAAGAACTCATTGCTGGACGGTTAAACATGAAATGTTAAACCTACTTGAGTCCCCACCATGCGGAATGAGTAGTCGGAGCCATCGGTTCCGGACGGCCGCCCACTAGCCGTCGATGTCCTCTGGTGCATGTCTTTATTTCGCGGCCTACTGCTATTGATTTTTGCCGTCGATTTAAAAACCGTTTATTCACAAAATTAGGATTGACCGCTTTTGACATTGCTGAATCTGAGTTTAGCCAAATTCAATCTCTTTTGGTTAGTTTGACACACGGCTACAGTTAAACGGGTTACCTGTTAAACCTCACTGCCGGTTGGAAGTGAAACTATACAGTATTTTCGGTTTGAAATGGGAGTTATTTGATGTAGAAATTACACTTTTGGTCTGATGACTGTTATAACAGAATTACAGTATTTTCAATTCCAACCTCACGGCCGTTGGAACTGAAACTATACATTATTACAGAATACTTCCCCCGATTGTCTCATTTTACTTGTTTAGGAAATTTCACAAAGATCGTCTTATACCAAATTTGGTAAAGTTTGTGTGAATTTAAATAATTTTTACTTTATTCTTACTTTGTTAATTCAATATCGATCACATAAACCCACTTTTCTTAATAATCGTGTCACCTCCTCATGTCCCAATATTAGTAGGACGGAGGCAGTACCACTTTTACACTGCGTCCTTACTTTCAACTCGTCGTCCTTCCGACCACAAATCCGACAGATGAACCCTAGTTCTTTCAAACCAAGCAGTCGCTAGCCATTGTTTGCTCACTCTCACCATAAGCCCAAATAAAGAAGTCAACTTGTCTACGTGTAAATCTGGAACTATGAATTCAACGGGTCAATATGAATATAGAGAGTGAATTCCGGTCACCTATTTCAAATGTGGCCAACCATTGAAGCTTTTGACAACATTGAAAGCAGAGAATTTGTGGGAGAAGGTTTTGGAAACGCATTGGAAGTTAGGTTATGGTTGTTCGTGTTGATTGTAGTATATGCAAGAGGTCTAAAAAAATCATTCCAAGATTGTTATTAAAAAAATTAATAGCTATGAGAAAAAAAAATATGTACATAGAGATGAAGGTTAAGGACACAAATAATACTAATAGCTTTGTGAAATACAAAAAAGAGACTACTTTTCCTTTATTCCAAAAATAAGACTTACTCGGCCCATCAATCCAGCCCATTTTTATCTCTGAAGCCAATTCCACACCATCGACCAAGGAGCTCCCCAAGCCATCGAGGAAGCAGAGAAAACATCTCCGCCCCCAGGCCGTCGCAGACTCGCAGGAGCAGAGGACACAACCCCCAAAGCCGCCGCCATCACCTTCGCGGACAGGGTAGATAGACCGCCGCCGCCCTCGCCCATGTCTTCTCCCTACGCCTCGCCTCCAACGACTGTCAAGGTCGCTGCGGTGGCGATTCCGCCGCCGCCGCCGCCCTATTTTTGGCTAGGGTTAGTCGCCTTCTTCTTCATCGTTGCACGATACCTTCTTCTTGTTCTCTAGCTTCATCGGTCTCAATCCACCTTCCTATTTCAGATCTGGTGGTGTTGGGGCTGCTTGGGCCTCGGGTGAGGCAGGGGGGTAGGTGGTTGTTTGGGCGGCGCTTGGGTCACGTGGTGCGGCGGTGTAGTGGTGGAATGCGGCAATGGCGCGGCGGTGGTGGTGGTGGTAGAATGTGGTGGTGGCGTGGAAACTTACCGGAGGGCGGTGGCCGGAGTAATTTGTATGTCACTGTAAAATTGTCACAACGAAGATGTCACCACAAACTTGTCACTGTGGCCGGTGGCGGTGATCTGGAGGCGTCACTATGGTGTGTGGTCACACGCAGAGTTGTCACTGCGGAGTTGTCACTGTGACTGACGGCGGTGATCGGCGACGTTGGCGGTGACCTCTGGCGGCGGCGGCGGCAACGGCAACAACCTGTGGCAGCAGCAGTGACGTCAGTGACACATGTCATGGCAGAGGAGATGTCACTGTGGTCGGTGATGGCGGAGATGTCACTGCGGAGATTATATTTGGAAATGTCACTATGCAAGTGTAACTGTGCATTAGTACCATTTTTGTCTAAATGTAAATATGGTCACTTTTTTGTAAAACAGCCTTAATTTAGTACTATTAAGGGAAAAACCCCGATGAAACATTACAGATGCTTGGAGAAGATGAAGAACAAATATAGGGCATTGGTTTGCATTGTTTCAGTTGTTATTTTTGTATCCCCATGTATATCAAAGCCAAATAATGTAGTTGTAGTGGTTAATTTCTGTAATGTTTGCTTTAGATGCACCCATGAGGTGTGATCATGTTGTTGTACTTATCAAGTTGTTGAACTACCTGATTATTATCGGTTTGTTTTAAATGGAATTGTTTTTATGTTTAGATCATAATATGATTTCTCAATTTTTGTTTTGAGAATTATAAAATGGTATGATCTTAGGTAGAAGGTGTGTACTCACATGTCTTTCAATCAAGAACACATAAATTGCAGCAAAAACATGTACTTCGTACACAAACATATATTCCAATCAGGTTTTAACTTACAAAACATTGCAAGAACATGAACACCCTACACAAACATATATTTCAACCATAATGTGACTCAGAAACCATGTTACAGAAACACGGTACACAAACGTATATGTTGCCTACGGTCCATTCCAATCTTAATCACTTCAGGCGGCCATTTCCTCATTTTCGTAACTGTGTAGGGCTTCTTCAAGATGGAGGAGTGTGGTTGAGAGGGAAAAAGATTCAATTCTAAGTTCATATTCAGAGGGAGAGAAGATAATTAGGTAAGGTCGAATAGAGTTTAGTTTAGCAGGTAACCAAATTCTAAATCCCTAAAATTACTAAACTACCCTTCATATTTGTCATTAAATTTCTCACCGGTAAAACATTGTCGGAGTTATGACCAGAAGGACGACGGGTGGTGAGGGGCAAATGGTCATGGACTAAATGTGGATAAAGTGAAATTAAGGAACATAATGTGAAAGTAGTATAATAATCATGGGACCAAAAGTGAAACTTTTTTGTTATTTGATAGCACTTTTAAAAACCCCCTTCTCTAAAATTTTTGCATGTGCAAAATAATTCTAGCATTTTGATACTTTGATAGGAGATTTTTTGTTCAACGTGGAGAATAGTGAGGCTAATATAGGAAAAGAGTGAAGAAGTTATGTATCAACGAAATAATCACAGGAGAGGAAAAAAATAAAAAAGTTTGGAGTGTTCAATTCGTCAAAGAGATGTGTATAATTATCCTTGAACAACCAATTGTATACATAAAGTGACGCATGTTCATTAAAGAAAACAGAAATGTGTGATGTTATTTCTTAACAATTTCTAACATTAATAGGTGAGTGAAGTTGGAGATGGTGTAGCGCTGCAATTTCTCCCACTTGCGGTTCTCAAGAATTTGGTGATTGTGATAATGTGAAATGTTTTTATATTTTTTTTCTAGTGACTTCTCTAGAGTTTTAAATTATCAATTAACGATTTTAATGTTACTAATCCAAAGGATGTTAAAGATGCAAACTCCAACGTCTAAATACGTGTCTCATTTATGCAGGGGCGGAGCCAGAAAATTGTGTGAGGGGGGTCGGAATTTAATTATATACAGTATCAAAATGATGGATAGTTATTATATAATACTTGAGTTAAATGTTTCATATGTAACTCAGATAAATGGTAGTTTAATGAGCATTTTCGATTAATGTATTGATATATAAGTAATGTATTATAATGTTTACATAACTAATGACTGAATAATGTGTATTATTTTTAAATTTAAAAATATAATCAACGTCACACATCAAATTTTGCTTATTTCAAGTTAAGATGATGTTGATTTTCCAGAAGTCATAACTTTTTACTCATAATGAGTTACGGGACCCATAATATATCAAATCGAAGGTATTTCAGAGTTCGACAATCTTGAACACCCTGACCCCCCCTCGACAATCTCGACAATCGAAGGTATTTCAGCAGGGTCGACTGACCACCCTGACCCCCCTTGTCTCCGCTGCACTTATGCATCATTTGAGTTATGTAAGTCTTTTTTTTTTTGAGTTATGTAAGTCAATACAACACCTTTAAAAATTGTCATCGTTTGCTAAACGTTTTTAATTCGTTAATACTATCGTATTAGAAATTGCTAAGGTATGAAAGTTTGCTAATGTATGAAAGTTGAGGCTATATATTACTCCAACCAGCGCATCAATTGGGGAGAGGTTTGGTTATATTGTGGAATGTGGTGAGAGGCAAGCTTCAAGCACAAAAGTGTGGAAGGTTGTTTGAAAGTGAAAAAATGAACACATTGAATAGATCCGATTCTGTTAACTTGGCTTTATGATCGAGTTTCTTTCCTGCACAATTTTAGAAGACTTGGTGAATGTTCTCTACAATCTACATTATGGTATGCACTTACCGGATACTCCTTTTTACAATGCTGTTATTATCACTTCTTTTTTATACCACTCTCAAATTTTGGGAACTATACTTTTGAAAACTACAGTTCATTTAAGAGCAATGGACAGCATATACATTATTAGTCTTTTGAAAGAGACGTATAACATATATATTATTCAAATGCCCAAGTCTTCTCCAAAACATTGACTTGCCAATTCCAATTTAGGCTGTTAGACCCATTCATAGATCTTCTCCCGCCAACAATCATACATCTTCAAACAAAGTTTTGTAGAAATTTTTTCTTCACCCAATGTCTGACTTAAAATTAAGTTCAAACTTTCGCAGTTCTACCACTTCTACGGTAATAAAGATCAACTTCTAAGTTCCAAAAATAAGTATTCTGGATGCTTGTGGATATGCACGAAAATGGGGTAATAATTCCAAAAGACCATGTGCATGAAATCCAGTAGGAGGATATTGCTTGGTATACACCAATTTATGTACAACTACGTGTACAAAAAATGATGAAATACCAAATATTCCCTCCGTCCCTCAATGAAGTTCTCGGTTTGATCTACACACATATTTATGTAATGTAGAGTTTTGTTTTGACTTTTCAAGATTGCCCTTACTTTATGTCAAATCAAACAAAAAGTGAATAAAAAGTAGGGATAGTTGTGACATTTGGGATAAAAGTGACTAGTTTTATAGAAATGAGAACTTCTTTTTGGGACATCCATAAAGTAGAAACTTTTTTACGGGACGGAGTTATTACTTAACATCCATTATAGGGTCCTCTTATTTTCGTTAGCTCTCACGTTTTAATAATACATGCGGCGGGCAGGAATACACACTTATCGTGCCACATCCACCAGCTTGGTATCATAAAATAATTATGTTTTATACAGTAAGTG